ATCATGACTGGTCTCGATCTTGATCGATCATTGATTTATGAGCTTAGCAATCCATTTCCGTGCCATGGTTCAATACAACGCGAGGCCGAGCCTTGGTCCGCCATCCCGGTTCCTAATAGCCAAAATTAGGCAAGTTCGATTTTGACTGTATACAGATAGTCCCCTCGTATTTTGGAGTGTAATGACAAGAAACGAATTGAGTCTTCAAACTTCCCCTTGGTTTATCATGACACAAGCATTATGGCGCAAGCGGCAGAGGTAACCAAAACGTCTTGTCGGTACAATTTTCTAGGCATTTAATGCGCATCAGTCGACGATCGGCCACTAATAGCTTTGAACCGTCGTTGTGAAACTGATAGATAGCCACCTTCTTTATTCTTTCAAACTTTAATTTCAATCTCCTTCATTCTAATCTTCATAGTTCTTTACCTTCTTCAAAGCTCCCTATCTTCAGGTTTTTGAGTTTCTTTGCTTGTTCTTCTTAAAGCACCAAATATTCCAATCTCTACTCTTCTTTGCCGACAAAAAACTAAATGGATAAAACATCTAAAACTGTTTCGCAGAAAAAAATCGCTCCCGCGTCTCAGCCAGCTGGAGAGAAACCAGCGGTGGAGTCACGCCCTGAAGAGCTTATTCCCGGGAGGTGTGTCATTGATTCTGACTTTAAGGTCGAGAAAACCTCATCGGTTCTTAGTCGATGTGAGCCGGTATCGAGATATATATGCTCGATACTGTTGCACCACACTTTTTCCTCGCGAAATCAGGTTCATGACATTTTGGGTATGGGACAACTCATTCCTTTTGGGAACGGGGTTTGCATTTTTTGAAGAGTCGCCACCTAACGATTTTAAGGTGTGTTAGGGCACCCATAAGGTTCATCTACAACTATGTTTGATAACCAGAGATAGGGTAAAGGCTCGGTGGTAAAAGAACCCACTCGAAACATGGTAATCAACGAGTCAAATAGTCATGGCTAACACATAGGACCAGAATGGAAAACCAAACTAACAGGTAAAGAAGGTCAGAAACAGGTAAAGAAAGTCTTTAAACTCACAGTAATAAGTGAAGAAAAACTTTAAGAAACTAGGATTTTAACAAAGTTGAGTTAAAAAACGATAAGAACTCAGGATCATTCAAGACAAACAAAGAAAAGGGATCTAACCATAAAGAACCCAAATCGAAACAGACATACATACAAATTAAACAAAGACAGTTCCAAAACCCCGGACAAACCAAGAATACTTAGGGTTTTCAACACGATGAACCAGGTAGAAGAAAACATAAACAAACCGTTTAAACATAGTAAAGTCATATGACAACACTGAAAATCAGAGGAGAAGTCTTTTAAAAGAGATTAAGAAAACCCTAATCTTTGAAGACGAAGAGTTATTTTGAAAAAAAAATCGAAGAGACCTTTGAGAACAACACCAAGAGGTTCATAATATATGCATATCTAAGGTAGATCTGAAAGAATTGGGAAAATCTTTAAAGCTAGGGTTTCGGAGAACCCAAAAAAAGTGAGAGAACTTCAAAAAGTTACCGATCTATCTGGAAAAGTTGCAGATCTTACTCGAACGGCTATAAATGGCCAGAAAATACCACAGATAGAAGTTGAGAAAGGACCGGACTAGATCTCTTCAAGATCTTTCCACGAAATCACAAAAGCGGGCCACCAGGAGACGTAGGAGACAAGTACACGTCTCAAATAGCCATGGAAGTCCATGGATTGAGTGAGGATCGAAGGGGATTTAGGGTTGGTTTGGGTGGCGGTGGCTAGGGTTTGAGTGAGGTTACAGAGAGAATTGGAGAGGAAAGGGGATTCAAGGGCGGCGGGTTGGTAGGAAATGAATTAGGTTAGGGGGTCATTTGGGTTTATTTTAGGAAGGGGAAATGGGGACAGTTGATCTGAATGATCAACGGTCTAGATTGAATGGGGTAGGTGGGTCGGGTTATAAAATTGGGTTTGGGCTTGGTCTGATGGGTTCAATTGGGTTAGGAATTGGGGTTTGATTTAGGCTATAATTGAAATATAATTTTGGCTACAAGTTAAATAGCCACTTTTCCCTTTTAATTTATAAAAATAGTAAATATTTTCTGAAAATTTAATTTTAAAGGATAAAATGATTTATGTCACGCCCCAAACTAGGGGAGGCACGACTGGCACTCGATACTGTATTCGATCAAGTTAGCCACTAAACATACTAGCTAACTAAACTTGGGGCCCAACAGATCGGGTAGCACAACATCTGAAATACTAAGCCTGGACCATTAAGGTCATGACCTGAATAACAATAAGTCATATAAATAAAGGTAGATCAGCCAAAATAATAAAGTACTAGCTGGCCGATGAGGCCGCAATTGGAGACATACATGCCTACACACATATATATACATGCCAAGCCTATGGGTTGGAGACTGAAAGCTGCAAAAAGAAACCCAAAATACTGTGTCCACAATAGCCTCTAAGAATATCATAAGCATTGTTGGGACAAAGCCCCGACTATACCCAAACTGTACAAAAAAAGTAACCATCTTATGAAAGCTCCAGGAAGAGGTGGAGCTTACCAACTCACAGCTGAACCCCGAAATCCTAGCAGAGGGGTCGATCAGAGTCCCTACCTAGACCTACACGCATAAAACAAAAATGTAGTGTCCCAGGCAACGGGACATCCATACGAATAAAAATGTACTGGTATGTAAGGCAAAAAGTAGAATCATACATAGCTGATATAAAAAAAAGTAATAGGGATACCACCTAACACTGAAACTCTGATAGCCTCCATGGCCGACATCCGACCTCATAGTAATCAAATATGCATGGTATGCTCGTGTAATCGTATGTCGTGAATACATATATATTGATGCAAATGCATGGCATACCCAACCAAATGCTAGCAATGGAGGTCTCTCCCGGTAGCTAACCGGTATCATATTGCCAACCTGTGGCCATCTGTACAATATATATAGTTTTTTGAGCAAATAGGCCTCTTACCTCCGATTATAGCTCGAAGTCCATGCATAATATGCCAAGTATGATATGAACTTTGAATGAACATAATAAGCCATAACAAGAACTTAGCCAATCTTGGCTTATTGGTACTCTTATTCTCATAATCTCATAATCACCTTCGTATCGCATACAATTGTCTCGTGGAACCTTATATGTTTTTTTTGAATAAGCTTGAAAACTTAACTCGACTTTTAGAAAGATAACTTAACTCCGAAGATGTTCATAAAAAACTTAAGGTGCTTCACTTAGTCCTTATACCTGATTTCTTGATATTTAGTAAAAGAAAGTATTTCAAAAATCAAGTGTTTTAGTAGTTTAAACATAAAATTATATTTGAGATTTTTGGAAATTGACGTGTCACTTTAGAGATTTTAAAATACACTTTAACAAGGAAGAAGAACTGATCTCAATTACTAAATGCCTTTATTTTATTTAGTCACACAACCCAAAGACGAATAAGAATTCATATATATAGACATATAGTTAAGAAAGCCGACAAAATGACATATATAGATGTCGAATACCCTATTTAACCAAATGAGTGGAATATCAACCTAATAGCATCATGAAAATACTTCAGGTACGATCCCAATTCTCTTCACAGAAGGTCTTTCTAGCAATAGAATAGTAAAATATCACATTTTATGTCTTAGGAATTTCCCGGAATTCGTGCTAAAAGGAAGAACGAAGCTTAGCCTTAATATACCTTTCCAACGAACGTCTGAATGCTTGTAGTTCCTTCACGAAAGTTGTTCCTTATGTCCTAAGCTTCACAAACACTATATATNCATATGACCCTAACTTGACGAAACGTCCGTAGAACTTCGTAAAAACGATCATAAAAGAGTCCCAAGTTGATTACCTTGGCAAACAAAGTATAAATCTTGAAGAACCAACAAGAACAACAAATTCCTATCTTCCAAAAATAACTCCAAACACAGCTAATAGAAGGGGGAAACGATTGTAAAGCGTAGAGATTGGCGTTTCTAGGCACAGGGGCAAACTTTAACGATAGAAATCGTTAAAAACTCACCTTAATCACTTAAGAACACCATGGAACCTTCTCTTCAGCTTGCTCATGTTTTGTGACTAAAATGAAATGTTTTGAGGTCTTAAAAGTCGAATTTGCCGACTTATATCACTTGTTTGACCCGACCCGGTTCGCGACCAGCCCGGATAGTTCGCGGTAAAACAGTCATAACCTTTTACTATGATGTCGATTTGATGTGAGGTGTTTTTGGTTGCAAACTAGACTCATAGTCCTTCAATTCTGTAGATTGTGGGTCCTATAAATCTTTATATATTGGGAGAAATGGTCTGATACATTTGACCCAAAGTTTAGAAAATTTATTAGAGAATATTATGATAACTTTTGCCGACCTTTATTTCGCAACTTACCTGACTCCCAAACTTAACATGTGACAAGTGTGATATTATAATACATCATAACATATTATTCTTAGCATATTAGACACTCTCAGTCTTATCCCACAGGTGCCAGTTAACTTAAACCTTCCGAACGCGCGGGTGCTACCCGAGCCATTTCTTTAACCACGAACCTTTGTTTAAGGGATTCCTTTGACCTAAAGATTTAGTTTAGTTCCTTGATATTGCCACATATTTTCAGTCTTATTCTTCCAATGTGATATACCCAATCATATATACCTAATATAACCACGCCACGTTACGTATATTACGTAAGAGAAGAGAGAAAAAAACACATGGGGTCTCATAGTCTCCCCCCTTAAGAACATTCGTCTGTGAATGGGTCAAGTCAATTCCTTGGTTTCATTTGTTTTTCGCTAATACATTATTTGCGAGGCTATATTTATTACATTTGCAAAGCATAAATCAAATTCTGAAGATTGCAACTACTAGGCTTGGTATAGCTATCTCGCAATTAGAGATTTAAATTGCATTTTCAAATCATTTAAAATCCAATTAAGTTGCTGTAAAGAATTAATTGTCAATTATTTAAATGCGACTCACCTTAAGTCGTAAATAGGTGGGGGTACTTCTTCCTCATTTCCTCCTCAGCTTCGCAGGTCATTTCCTCGATGTTGTTATTTCGCCATAACGCTTTCACGGAAGCCGCTTCTTTAGTTCGAAGCTTTCTTACCTGCCGATCTAAAATAGCTACTGGTACCTCTGCATAAGATAAGTCTTCAGCAATGTGAATATCCTTAATGGGCGTAATATGTGAAGGATCTCCAATGCACTTCCGTAACATAGATACATGAAACACAGATGGACTGCTTCCAATTCTGAAGGCAAATCAAGCTCGTACACCACCCTACCAATCCTTCGAATAATCTTATACAGTCCAACATACCTGGGGCTGAGCTTCCCCTTCTTTCCAAATCACATGACGTCCTTCATAGGCGATACTTTCAGGAAAACCCAATCTTCTACATCAAACTCTAAGTCTCGTCATCGAACATCTGCATAAGACTTTTGCCGACTTTGTGTTGTACGCAGCCGGTCTCTAATAAGTTTTACCTTTTCCATTGCTTGCTGGACTAAATTAGGACCTAGTAACTCTACTTCCCCGACCTCGAACCAACTGATCGGCGACCTACACTTCCGCCCGTATAGTGCTTCATAAGGAACCATCTGAATATTATCTTGGAAACTGTTATTATAAGCAAACTCAATAAGAGGTAGATGATCATCCCAACTTCCTTTAAAATCTAGCACGCAAGCACGTAACATATCCTCAACTGTCTGAATAGTATGCTCTGCCTGTCCATCAGTTTGTGGATGAAAAATGGTGCTAAGATTTACCTACGTGTCTAGACCCTTTTGAAAAGATTTCCAAAAATGTGCTTTAAATTGAGCCCCTCGATCAAAGATAATAGATAATGGCACTCGGTGAAGGCGAACAATCTCTTGAATGTAAAGCTTGGCATAATCCTCGGCTGAATATGTCGTCCTGACTGGCAGGAAATGAGCATATTTTGTAAGCCTATCAATAATTACCCAAATAGCATCATACCTCCGTGGAGTGCAAGGCAAACCAGTGATGAAGTCCATATTTATCATGTCCTATTTCCATAATGGAAGTTCAATATACTGAGTTAGTCCTCTAGGCCTATAATGTTTGGCTTTAACTTGTAGGTAGTTGGGACATTGGGCTACCATCTCCGTAATATCTTTTTTCATTCCATTCCACCAATAGATCTGTCGAAGTTCCCGATACATCTTTGTCGCTCCGGGGTGAACTGCATATCTAGAATAATGGGCCTCCGAAAGAATCTCGGCACGGAGCTCTCCGACTGTCAGTATATATAAGCGGCCCTGGTATCTAAAGACTCCAACTCTAGTTGGCTCAAATAAAGGTTGTCGCTGCTATGGAATACTTTCCCTCAGTTTTATAAGCTCAGGATCTTCGTGTTGTCGCTCTTTCACTTCAGTAACAAAAGAAGATTTTGCCGTATTCTGAACGAGAATGCATCCACCCTCTGTGTCTACCAAACGCACCTACAAACTAGCTAGCTGGCATAGATATTTGGTCATCTTGACCTTATCAACTTTAACATGGCTTAGATTGCCCATGGACTTCCGGCTAAGGGCATCGGCAATAATATTGCTTTGCCGGGATGATATAAAATATCAACATCATAGTCTTTTAGTAATTCTAGCCATCTTCTTTGTCGTAGGTTCAGCTCCCTCTGTTTAAATAAATACTGAAGGCTCTGGTGGTCGGTGAAAACATCAATATGAACCCCATATAGATAATGCCGCCAAATCTTTAGGGCGAAGACAACTGCTGCTAACTCAAGATCGTGCGTAGGATAGTTCTGTTCATGTTTCCGAAACTGTCTGGAGGCGTATGCGATAACCTTACCATGCTGCATAAGAACACAACCTAGGCTAATTCTTGAGGCATCACAATATACAACATAACCCTCGGTGCCATCCGGAAGAGTCAAGACAGGTGTCGTCGTAAGCCTATTCTTTAGCTCCTGAAAACTTTGTTCACATGACTCAGTCCACTGGAACTTAGCTCCCTTATGTGTTAGTTTTGTCAATGGTGCAGAGATATAGGAAAATCCCTCCACAAACCTTTGATAATACCCTGCCAAGCCTAAAAAGCTACGAACCTCTATCGGATTTAAGGGCCTCCGCCAAGTCATCACAGCTACAATCTTTTGGCCATCAACCTTGATACCATCGCCGGTAATAACATGACCAAGAAAAGCTACATAAGTTAGCCAAAATTCACATTTAGAGAATTTATATATAACATGTAGTCCTGGAGAGTCTGCAATACAGCTCGCAAGTGGTCCGCATGCTCGGCTTCCGTTCGTGAATATATCAGAATATCATCAATAAACACAATCACAAATTCATCCAAGAATGGTTTGAATACCAGATTCATAAGATCCATAAAGGCTACTGGGCCATTTATAAGCCCGAAAGACATGACAAGGAATTCAAAATGGCCATACCTCGTCCTAAATGCCGTTTTTGGGATATCAATTTCCCTGACTCGTAGCTGATGATAATCGGATCGCAAGTCGATCTTCAAAAAGCATTTGGCACCTTTTAACTAGTTGAACAGGTGATCAATCCGTGGAAGAGGATACTTATTCTTGATATTAACTTTATTTAGTTTCCTGTAGTCAATACACATCCGCAATGAGGCATCTTTCTTTCGAACAAAGAGCACCGGAGCACCCCATGGGGATGTACTTGGCCTAATAAAGCCTTGAGAAAGTCCTTCAGTTGTTCCTTCAATTCCCTTAGCTCTGCAGAAGCCATTCTGTAGGGAGGAATGGATATAGGCTGCGTATCAGGAAGCAAATCTATAGCGTAATCGATCTACCTCTCGGGGGAATTCCTGGAAGCTCGTCAGGGAATACTGTGATGACCCAGCCAGTCGTCTCATTAGTTACCGCTCCATTTTCCCCTATTTTATATTTTTACGCTTCGTTATCCGTGTTTTATGTGATCGGGTTAATTAGTTCGAGTTCGGAGACGATTTGGTAAGAAATGAGACACTTAGTCTCTTTTAAGAAGTCTTAAGTTGGAAAAGTCAACAGAATGTTGACTTATGTGTTAGAAGGCTAGGAAGTGAGTTTCGATGGTTCGTTTAGCTTGGGAAGGTGATTTGTGACTTAGGAGTGCGATCGGAATGGGTTTTGGAGTTGTAGAGAAGATTTAGGCTTAAATTGGCGAAGTTGATATTTTGGCGGTTCCGGTTGATAGGCGAGATTTTGATATAGGGGTCGGAATGGAATTTCGAGAGTGATAATAGCTTCGTTGTGTCATTTGGGATGTGTGTGCAAAATTTTAGGTCATTCGGACGCGATTTGATAGACTTTTTGATCGAAAGCATAATTTAAGAGTTCTTGGAGTTCTTATGCTTGAATCCTATGTTAAATTGGTGATTGATGTTGTTGTGAGCGTTCCGAAGTTTTGAAAAAGTTTGAACGATGTCATGGGATGTGTTGGTACAATTGGTTTGAAGTTTCGGGAGTTCCAGGTAGGCTCCGGGTAGGTTCCGGGATGTTTTAGGCCAAAAATCATAGTTGTAGCAGGTCCAGAAGGGTTGCAGGCCTCAGAACTCACCCGTGCGGTCCGCACAAAAAGAAGTGCGGCCGCGGTATGTGCTATGCGGACCGCACAAAATGGTGTGCGGCCACGGTAGGTGCTGTGCGGACCGCACAAAATGGTGTGCGGCCGCGGTGAAGAACATTCTACTGGTCCTACTTCGGAAGCTCATATCTTTTGATCTACAAGGAATTTTGAGATGATTCAAAAACAAAAGTTGTAGCCCTTCGTGTCTAGTTTCCAGAAAGGTAAAGATATCCAATTTGGACATATGTAGCAAAAGTTATGGCGAAAATACTAAAGCCTGTCATTACAGAGAAAAGCCTGTGCGGCCGCGGTCGATTTTGTGTGGCCCGCGGAGGTGGAAATCTTTGGGGTACTCTATAAATACGAGGTTTTGGATTTTATTTGATATTTTGACCTTGAGAGCTTGGATTTTGGCGATTGTTTGAAGGTTTTTCAAGAAATTCATCGGGGTAAGTGATTCTAACTCAGATTTGGCTAGAGTACATGAATCTATCATTGAATTCATCATTTAATTCGTGATTTGAGAAGAAAATTGTGAAATCTTTCAAAAATATAAAATGATGATTTGAAGGACCAAATGGTATCGGAATTGGATAATCTTCGTATGGATAGACTCGTGAGAGTATAAGGATTCTAGTTTTGCAAATTTTGTCAAATTCTAAGATGTGGGCTCGGGGGTCGGGTTTGACCAATTTCTGGAATTTTGTGATAATTCGATTGTTTTTGCTTGGGCTTTGTTCCCTTAGCATATAGTGACGTATTCGTTCTGATTTTGGATAGATTCGACGCGCGTGGAGGCCAATACGAGGGGCAAAGGCATCGCGAGCTAGACAATTAGCCGGTTCGAGGTGAGTAATGGTTGTAAATGATGCCTTGAGGGTTTGAAACCATGGATTACATATCGTAGTGCTATATTGAGGTGAGACACGCGTTGGGTGATGAGCGTGGGGTCTTTTACTACTGGGGATTGTGACTTGGTCCGTCCCGATTGATGATTTTACCGCGTATTTGGCTGAAACTTATTTGTTATCGTCATGATTTGGGCTGATTGCCATATTTGGGCTGCGCGCCAACTATTTGAACCCTCCGGGGATTTTTATCACTAATTCCTCACTATTTGACTTATCACTTGAACTCAGTCCTGTTGATATTTACTGTTTTACAAACTCAGCAACTTTTATTCGTATTTGAACTTAAATGATGTTTTGGGCTGAGAACTACTGATTTACTAATGCTCGAGGGGCTTGTGATGATTTTTGAACTGAGTGAGGCCGAGGGCTATATGTGAGGATATGCTGAGTGATATAAGGTTGAGGGCCTAATATACTTTTTATTGCCATGAGATGGCTTGATATTACGTTTGGGCCGTAAGGGGCCCCTCTGGAGTCTACACCCCCACAGTGAGTACGGGTGCCCATCATGATTTGAGAGTGAGCCTGAGGGGCTGATACTGTACTGAGAGTGAGCCCGAGGGGCTGATATTGTACCGAGAGTGAGCCCGAGGGGCTGTTACTGCTTTGAGTGATTGTTACTTTGCCCAAGGGGCGGATTTCTACTTGTTATTCACCTGCTAAATTACCTGTTTTACTTGGTTTAAAGGAACTTCATTTGATTTCTTCATGGATTTACTGCCTTAAGTTATTTTACTGCTTGATATAGAATTGCTTTGTGCCTTTACGTGTTTTCTTGCTTTTAGCCATTATTTATGATTATTACTCACTGAGTCGGAGTACTCACATTACTCCATGCACCGCGTGTGCAGATTCAGGCATCGCAGAGTCCGCTTCTAAGTGCTGATCCTCCCAGTCCAGGCAGTATTTTCAGAGACTACAAGGTAGTTATTGACGTTCGCAGCCCCCGTGCCTTCCTTATCTTAATATTTTCATGTTCTTGAACTTCTGTAACGGATTTCGTATCTAGTAGACTGGTATCTGGAACTATTAGTTGCTAATGACTTGTGACACCCCGGTTTGGGTTGTGTCAGGATGGTTTCTACTGTTGTTATCGTTAATTTTGCAAATTATGGTTATTATATCATGTTTTAGAACTACTTATGGTATTTAACTATTTAAAAGAGGTGGTCTATTTTAGTCTGGCTGGCCTTGTCTTCATGAGAGGCTCTATCACAATTGGGTTCGGGGAATTGGGTCATGAGAAGTTGGTATCAAAGCCTAGGTTACATAGGTCTCACGAGTCATGAGCAGGTTTAGTAGGTTCTCGCGGATCGGTATGGAGACGTCTGTATTTATCCTTGAGAGGCTGCAAAACCTTTAGGAATAACTTCATATTCTTGAAGTTCTTGTCATGCGAACTTGTTGGTCCAAGTACTAAACTTCTGTTATTCCATTCTCTCACAAATGGTGAGGACGCGAGCTACCAGACGAGGCGGACAACCACCAGTGCCACCAGCTAAGACCACTAGAGATGATAGATGCGGTCGTGGTAGCGGCAGAGGCAAAGCAGCGAGGGCAGCACCTGTAGATCCACCAACTGCCCTAGCTTCGGATCAGGCTCCAGCTATGGACGCTCCAGCAGCACCAATTCAGGCACCAGCTGTGCCCGTCGTGATTCCGGGTCTTCAGGAGGCCTTGGCACAAATCTTATCAGTTTGCACTGGCCTGGCTCAAGCAGTTTCAGCTACTATAGCAGCAGCTACTTCACAGGCCGGGGGAGGTAATCAGACCCCCGCTGCTTGCACACCTGAGCAGCTAGTGTAGGGACTTCAGACGCTGGGGGCACCTCCAGCCCAGTTGGTTGCACCAGCTCAGGAGTTTGTTATGCCAGTTATGTCGGATGATGAGCAGTATCGTCTTGAGAAGTTTTGTAGACTCCAGCCTCCGACATTTAGCGGAGCAGAGGGCGAGGATGCCAGGATTTCTTAGATAAGTGCCAACGGATGCTCCGTACAGTAGGGATTCTTGAGTCTAGTAGTGCAGCATTTACTACCTTTTAGTTTTCTGGGGATGCCTTCACTTGGTGGGAGGCGTATGAGAGGCGTAGGCCGGTTGGAGCAGCGCCCCTTACTTGGCATGAGTTCTCCGTTCTCTTCCTGGAGAAGTATGTGCCGCAGTCTCGCAGAGAGGAACTGCGTAGACAGTTTGAGTGGTTGAGACAGGGGGATATGACTGTGTCACAGTATAAGTCAAGGTTTTCTGAGTTGGCTCATCATGCCGTCTGGATGGTTCCGACAGATTGTGAGAGGATCAGGAGATTTGTTGATGACCTTAACTACCAGCTCTGTATTCTGATGACTAGAGAGAGAGTGTTGGGTGCTACATTCGAGGAGGTGGTTGATATCGCTTGCAAGATTGAGACGGTTCGCCGTCAGGATCGAGAGGAGAGGGAGGCCAAGAGGCCTCGAGCATCTTGCAGTTACAGTGGTGCTCCTTCGAGGGGCCAGTTCTAGCATGGTAGAGGTCGTTCTTTCAGGCCTTCTCAGTCAGCCCGCCCAAGTTATCGTGGGGCATCTTCGGGTCATGGTTATCACGGTACTCAGTAGGGCCAGTCATCACTTAGTGCCCTCATAGCTCAGAGTTCATCTCATGCCCTGTCAGCTTATGGTTCTTCTATGTCGAGTGCGTCAGCTAGTCACTCCGGTGCGAGGGGTTCCCTTCAGTCCCCTTCTCCAGCACCTGGGAGTTGTTTTGAGTGTGGAGAGTTTGGGCATGTGTGGAGGCAGTGTCTTCGTCGTATTGCTAGTTCGTCCTAGTAGAGGGGTCAGCCCTCGACTTCTGCTCCAGTTACTTCACCACCCGCCCAGCCAGGTAGGGGTGAAGGTCAGGCAGCCAGGGGTTGCCCCAGAGGGGGAGGTAGATTAGGGGGCGGTCAAGCCCGTTTCTATGCACTTCTAGGCAGGCCAAACGCCATTTCTTCAGACGCTGTCATTACAGGTATTGTTTTAGTCTACCACAGAGATGCCTCTATATTATTTGATCCTGGTTCCACCTTTTTTTATGTGTCATAATATTTTTCTCGTTATTTGGGTATGCCCCATGAGTTTCTTGCTTTACCTGTTCATGTATCTACCCCGGTGGGCGATACTGTTGTTGTAGACCATGTGTACTGGTCATGTGTGGTGACTATTGGGGGTTTGGAGACCCGAGTGGATCTATTACTATTAAGCATGGTGGATTTCGATGTCATTTTGGGCATGGATTGGTTATTTCTGTGTCGTGCTATTCTAGACCGTCATGCTAAGACCGTCAATTTGGCTATGCCGGGTGTACCGCAGATCGAGTGGCATGGTGTGACTGATTATGTTCCTAGTAGAGTGATCTCTTTCTTGAAGGCCCAGCGTATGGTTGGGAA